AAGTTAAAGGCCACAATACAATTCTGTAATAATACAACTTTCTCTAAACTATAAACTGGGCTGTAATCAATATTATGTAGCATATACTGGCTCTGCACCACAATTTTCCACGTACTTTACATAGGCTAGTCAAACTGCATTAATGAAGATAACATGTTCAAATACATGAGAATGCTGCTACACTGAAATACCAATGCTGGAGAAGGGTAACCATAATGTAATTTTATGGTAGTCACCTATGCATAAGAAATAGGTGAAACTGATATATGCCGTAAGTGCCAAAAGCTCTACAAAACTTTTGAAAGGATTTGAGGGAAAAGAAAAAGTCTGAAGTGGGAGCGAAATTCAAGGCAACCTGCTCTCACTTCAAGGAACTCTAAAAGCCTGTCCGTGCCTTTCAAGAGTTATAATCCTGTGAAAACACACAACACATACGGAAGCGGGCCACACAAATGATGTATTTTGAATACCTCTCCTCTCTTCTGGGTGGATTTTCTTAAAAGTCTTTCTGTCAATATCTTCACTGAGCTTTACATTATGGGGGAAATACCTGCGAAAACACAGGCAAGTTTCTGACTTTCCCACAAAAGAGCCCTTCTTCAAAACTGCCCATTCTTAAAAATCAACTTCGCAAACTTTGAAATATACCTACAAAAACATAAAGCATTTCCTCCCTCTTCCCCACGCCTATTTAGGGTATTTAAATGCCATTTCAACCAACACAGCCGTTATTCATCAAAAAAGCATCCCGTGCCCTGACTGGTTTGGCTCAGTGGATAGAGCGTCGGCCTGCGGACTCAAGGGTCCCAGGTTTGATTCCGGTCAAGGGCATGTACCTTGGTTGCGGGCACGTCCCCAGTGGGGAGTGTGCAGGAGGCAGCTGATCGATGTTTCTCTCTCATCGATGTTTCTAACTCTATCCCTCTCCCTTCCTCTCTGTAAAAAATCAATAAAATCTATTTTTTTTTAAAGCATCCTGTGCCCCAGCCAGGTGGCTCAGTTGGTTGGAGCATCGTTCCTTACACCAAAAAGGCTGCAGGTTCGATTCCTGGTCAGGGCACATACCTAGATTGGGGGCTCCAACCCCAGTCGGGGCACATGCAGGAGACAACGGATAGATGCTTCTCTCTCCTCTCTCTCAGTCTCTCAAATCAATAAACATATCATCAGGTGAGGATAAAAAAGAACAACACTTGTGCTGGGTGATATATTTAATATTCTAATACGGAACAACTAGGAAAACGCTTATTGGATCCTTCCGAGTCCTAAAACACTGGGCAAGCTATGGATGAATTATCCCCTCCACGTCTCTTGTAGACTATGGCTTGTCTCCATGTGCAGGTACCTATGCTAACAGGGACAGGTGGAGGGTTGCTACTAAAAGAATTTTGGTTGCACAGTCGGCCATATTTCCCCAATACACATGTAAGATGCTTCCAAACTCTGTCCTGGGACCTCTCTGGTTATAAAATGGAAAAAGAGTTCGCATACACACAGAACACAGCTGGTACATGGTCCACTACATGCCACGAATCAGCTTGACCTTTCACCACCAATTAAAGGGAGAGTTAACGTGCAGGTACCGCATGTTACGAAGGGCAATGGACAAGCCAAAACATTTGGGTCTCTTTTTCCAACCTGCCCCACCAGCGTGATGATGCTGGTCCCTGAACTCTTCGTGCCTGTATTTCCTTCGCCATAAAAACAAAGATACAGAGCATCGGATGAACTCCAAATAGCCCTACAGAGCCAACATGTATGACTCTTCAAGATCAAATCTGCTCTCACTGCATTTATAACTGACATCTTAGTTAACAATGTTGTGATCATACAGTTCCTGTCCACAAAAGTCCAATATAGTTGGGAAGATACAACATTCAAACACCAACTGCACACGGACAAAACCTGAACTAAACTCCAATCCTAACAAAAGACATCTTCCTCCCTCTCCCATGCTCAGCCCCGCAAACACAGTATTTCTTAACACAGGGGAGAGAAATTCTCACTTGGCAGTCTTCTAGTGATCTGGTCTAGTAATTTTTTTTTTTTACCTTTCCCTTTGAATACTAGGAAAATATACTTATTTGGATGCGTAAAACATGTGCAGTTGGCATTAAATAAATATAGAGTATTGAAAAGGAAAGGAACTAAAAAAGCAAACCCACGGCTCAAGAAGCATACGTCAATTTCTCTATCAACTACTATTTGAAGATTCCCCGCACAGGAAGTATATGAACATCTAATCCACTGGTGCTACAATAAAATACGTAAACATTTGAGGCAGTTAATTCAGCATCTGAAATAACTAAAATGAAAAAGGATGTTGTTATGGGTCAAGCTACATGAACTTGATTTCTGGGAAAACGGTTATACTACATTATGGAAAATTAGCATTGTCACTGTGAACTCTAACAGGTACAAGTTAGTAAAAACACTAAAAGAAAATGTTTCAGAATGAGGGAAGTTAAAATGAAATGGATTTTTATAAACCAGAGTAAGTGTTTTCTCATGTTAAAATCACTTTCAAAAATGTAGCAGGGGAGCCCTAGCTGGTTTGGCTCAATGGATAGAGCGTCAGCCTGTTAGCATTGTCACTGTGAACTCTAATGGGTACAAACAAGTTAGTAAAAACACTAAAAGAAAGTGTTTTCAGAATGAGGGAAGTTAAAATGAGGTGGATTTTTATAAACCAGAGTAAGTGTTTTCTCGTGTTAAAATCACTTTAAAAAATGTAGCAGGGGTCGTCATGAAGATTAAATGCATATATACATACATGTTGGCCACATGTAACAATGCCTGGCACATGGCAATGGCTCACCAGGCATTGGCTAGCATGAACGCTGCACTGAATCTAGCTCATGAAAAGACCATGATAAAATAATTAAGTTAACATCTGATGATTCAGGGCTATCTTTGCAGGAGCCTACAGAACAGTGCATGCGCCCTGGCCGGTTTAGCTCAGTGGATAGAACATCGGCCTGCAGACTGAAGGGTCCCGGGTTCGATTCCGATCAAGGGCACATGCCTGGGTTGCAGGCTTGATCCCCAGTAGGGAGCGTGCAGGAGGCAACCAATCAATGAGTCTCTC